TATTTTTTGTCAGGTTCAACTTAACCTCTACCTTGAGAGTTTATGTTAAAACAAAAGGTTCCCACCTACCTTCTATATCAATATTTTGGTCAGGAATCTCCAGCTCTATGATGTTCATGCTAGACTCTTTCCAAGATCCACTGAACATACTGGAAAAGTAGCCCGACTATAAGAGGGAGGAAGGGAGAAACAGAACTCAAGTAAGAGATTTCATTTAAATTAAAACTGTCAAAAGCAGCACATGGAACAAAAGATCATTAATATTTACCTTTACGCAGAACAGAATGTATTAAGGGAACTTTTCACAAGTTAAAACATTCTGACATACTTGAGTAAGGGCTAATTATATTTGCTTTATTTCTGAAAGTGAAAATGTGTATAGAAAATTTGGACTACATGTCTGTAATCAGAGTAAAGAGCTTTAAAAGGCCAGAAAAGCCACATAAGCTCTTTTTCCTACAAACCACACCACCAAGGGATCTATAATTAGTCCAAGAACTAAGTCCTTAATGTTACTGGCAGACAACAAATCCTGCAGGCATTAGGGAATGCCAGTTTAGGTATCAGGAAGAAAAAAGAAAAAAAAGCAGCATGCAAGACATACAAATTAATGTGCAAGGTTGTAGTCTCATACCAAGGACACATACACATACACCATTTATGTAAATATACCTTTTATTATAAAGTGTAAGGCATAAAAAACTAGAATTTGACAGGTTTCCATCCAAATGAAGTGAAATACACTGCTCTACTAGGATTCATGATTTTCCTTCTCAGCAGAAGATGTGCCCATTATGAGATGCTATCACTCACTGAAGTTTACCTGAGAGATCAAAAAAATAAAGTCTATTTGTACAGCACCATATTCCCTGACCTCTTAACTCAGCATTTCAACTCAGGGCAACAAACAACATAAAATCTAATTTTGATTTTATCTGATTATGTAAGCATCTCTATACCTTCAGCATATCCCCTAACTATGATGACATACAACAGACTGCCCTCAAAACCCAGACCTTATTCATCTTGCCAATCCTCATGAAGCTACCTTAGCTTTGCCATGTAGACCAACCCTTCAATTTCATAAGACTTTATCATTTTAGTAAACAGCATCAGAAGAAGGAAATCCTCCATTTCTCAGATCTGACCTTAACAGGTAGAGCAGCACCTTACTGCCATTTATCAAATTATATGCAGTAACTTGAGAGACTAGCAAACAGAAACATTCAGACTGAGATAGTCTGCTCAACAGGACTGAAGAGGAGCCATAATTTCATTAAGAGTAATTTACAGAGAGAGTTATTTTTAACCTCCAAAAATGTTTTACCTATAGTAACATAGTTCCAATAACAGAGCATGAACTGAAATAGAAACCTGACTTAGAAGAATGGTTAACTTAACCACAAAATTTCATCTCACAAGAACATCACTTGTATAACAAGGCCTCTAGAGAACAAAATCGCAATTTTCAGTCTGTTAAAAAGCATCCACAGAATCAATTTAACATTCAATTTTAGTCACCAACCCACACTAAGTTTTAAGGAGTAGCTTCACCAACTTGAGACATAGCAACAACAGAATCACAATAACGATTAAGAACGCCACTGCCAACAACAGTCTAAGGATGAACCAGCAACATGCCCACCCTGTTCACGCTGCACAACGTAAGTCTGACTGTCCAACCCACTTATATTCTCCTTTTGTTACAGAGAGTCCAAGGTGAGCAGACAATTAAAGCTCTGTCTGCCAGCTGTCCTCCCTGGTCAGACATACCCACTGTTCTAACAAGAGACAGCTGTCACTGGTGAATCTTTGGCTCTACACAAACTACTTTCCTGCTCTCATTTTATGCTCTTTAAAAGGTTCTGAAAGATATAAAGGGCTTTTTCCTACAAGCAAGCAATGAAATTTCCCTCACTGTGGGCAACTCAAGTAGTTGCTGTACCTGCACTGGAATCATGGCATTAATATTACAACAATAAAAAAATCAAGAATTCGCTTCTACCATCACTTGTTACACCAGAGAAACTGCATTCAACCTGCTGAGCATCTCACAGTGACATCTTCACCTTGTAGCACATAAAACTGCTTTATGTTTGGCTACAGCTAACAAAGAAGTTCACACGTTTTCAGGTATAGTACCTGACATTACTTTCTCTTCTCGCTTCAAATAAATTGCCTCCAAGGTTAGACTTCGACTTTAAAGTTAACGGCACAACTGAATTACACATTTCAAGACAAAGCCATGGTTTCTCCCCACTTCTGTCACAGGAAAAGTAATAAAGAGAACAGACAGTAAAGATAACAGTACCTCTGCACTCCCAAAACACAAGAAGTAACACAAAGAACTTCACCTTAATACAAACTCAAAATAAAATGCTTGTATAAACTCCATCTTTTTTGTAGGTATGCACTAAGATGTATTTCTTCTTAGAGTTTCTGTGCATACCTTCCTCATGCAGCAGCAAGACAGCCCTCATCCAAGAATGAAGGCTGCATAACAAATACAGAGCCCCAGCTCCAACAATTTCACTTCAGGTTCCTATACCTGAGTCCCAGTGAACAATAAAACTGAACTGGGTTAGCATGCGCATTAAAAATCCATTCTGGAAGCGCTGTCTTTGCTCTGCAATAATAGTAACATCGCAGGGGGCTCTCAGCCACTTGTTTAGCAAACAAGAACATGTTCTCAGGACATCAAAAGACAGTTTTCAGGACTGTTTTCATGAAGGATGTGCCAAGGTTAAGACAAGTAGATTAAAAAAATTAAGCAGCAAGAGACAGAACCAAAGAAACTTTTCACACAGGAAGCTACAGTTGTGTTTCCTAGCATTACTATCAAAAGCAAAACAGTCTGCATCCACAGACAGTGGTAAGTCTGAAATATAAGAAAAAAAAAATAAGAAAAAAGCTCATCACACTTAACATTTACCATATTCCTTTATTAAAAATACACCTTCTACTGCAAGAAAGAAGCCACTTACCTGACACAAATATATCTTATGCAAGTTCCACTCTTCTCCCAGAGCACAAATTTTGATATCACTGTTCTCCCCATTCAAAAACAGAGTCTGATAAATATACTTAGAAGTGCTTTTCAATTTTTTCCTACACAAAAAGGCAAAGAGAGACACACTACTTCATTTTTTTTTCTGTTACACCAGCAACACTAAGTATAAACTACTTGATGTGGGGGTTTTTTTTCCTCCCCATAACGGACTGCCCGCCCGCCCTGTGCACTCACTTCCCCTCTCTTGTTTCCTGCAGCTGCTGCTAAGCCCTTCCCAGAGCAAACGAGAGCCTCCGGCCCAGGCCCACCCCCAGCCCCTCTCCTCCGGCCCAGGCCCACCCCCAGCCCCTCTCCCCTCACCTCTTTCCCGCACAAGCCCAGGCTCGGCCCTCGGCTGTCCCAACACCCCCCCCCCCCCCCACGGCCGAACAAAGCCCACAGCCCCCGACCTGCGTGGGGTGTTGAGGAGCAGCTCCTCCCGCTCAGCCTCGCCGTCGCAGTCGCTGTCACCGGGCCCCTCGGTCCCGCCGCGCTTCCTCTTCCCGCCCCGACCGCCGCCGTCCCCGGCTGCCCCATCGCCGCGCGGGAGGCCCACCCGCCGCCTCAGCACCCGGCTGCTCAGCGAGCCCATCGCCGCTCCGCCGTCGCCTCCTCATGAGGCCGCCCAGGAGCGGAGCGGGGACGGCGGCGGGGACGGCTGCACCTCAGCGGCGGCCGGCGACGGCCATCGCCACCGCGCCTCTGCGCATGCGCGGAGGGGGGCGCGCGCGCAGCGGGGCCCGCAGGCCGCGCGTGCGCCGGGGGCGCCGCTCCACGTGGCCTTTGGGGTGTCGCGGCGGTAGGGGATGGGGGGGGGGGGCGGGAAACCCGCGTTTTGGGGGAGTCCCGCAGGAAAAAGCGGCAACGGTACCCAGCGCCATCGCTGCTCGTGATGAGGGAGGGGATTTCCCCCCCCTCTGCTCCGCTCTGGGGAGACCCCCCTGCAGTGCTGGGGCCAGCTCGGGGGCCCCCAACAGCAGAAGGACACGGAGCTGCTCGAGCGGGGCCAGAGGAGGCCACAGAGATGCTGGGGGGGCTGGAGCAGCTCCCCTGGGGGGCCGGGCTGAGAGAGTTGGGGGGGTTCAGCCTGGAGAAGAGAAGGCTCCGGGGGGACCCTGAGAGTGGCCTCCCAGGGCTTAAAGGGGGGGCAGGAGAGGGGGGGAGGGACTCTGGGTCAGGGGGTGGGGGTAGGACGAGGGGGGACGGTTTTAAACTGAAAGAGGGGAGATTTAAATGAGATCGAAAGCAGAAATTGCTCTCTGTGCGGGCAGTGAGGCGCTGGCCCAGGGTGCCCAGAGCAGCTGTGGCTGCCCCCTCCCTGGAAGGGTTCAAGGCCAGGTTGGACGGGGCTGGGAGCCCCCTGGGCTGGGGGAAGGGGGACCTGCCGGGGGCAGGGGGCTGGAACTAGGTGGTGTTTAAAGTCCCTTCCAACCCAAACCAGCCTGTGATTCTATGATTCTTGCTTGGCAGTGGATGACCAACAGGAACTGTCCCTCCCAAAGCAAGGTCGGGGTACTGAGTGGGAGCAGCAGCAGCAATGCAACTGCAGCAGCTGGGGGGTCCGAGGCTGCACCCCCTAATTTGTCCCTCCTCTCCCCCCCTGCCCCCGGTGATTTCCCCCAGGCACAGGACTTTATAAACCATTTCTCAAAGCGCTGCTGGAGGTGGATTTACAGCATCCTGTGTGCTGGGCCCACCAAGATGGGGGCAATGGATTTGCCTCTTTCCAAGGAGCAGATGTCCCCCGTATCGGTATTGCACCTGAGTGGGCAGCACCCTAGGCACCCCGCTTTGAGGCTGAAGAGCCGAAAGACCTCTCCCTGCAGCCTCTCCCCCCTGAGCTGGTCTATGGAGGTCCATGCTTTGGAGAAAACACCTGTGGAGCACAGAAGTTGTTGCAAAAGACACAGTTATTTCACCATCACTTCTCCCAGAATACACAATCATGGCATAATGTACAGAAATTGTTTATTCAATTTTAAAAAGCAACGTAAGGCATTTAAACACAAAACCAAGCCTGAGAGCATCTGTTAGCCTGTTGTACTGGGTAAGACAATTTTTCTTTCACTGAGCAGAAGGCTTCAATAGAACTGGAAAAATCTCTGCCTCCTCTCCCACCAAAACTAAGGAATGTATCTCCAGTTACAGCACAGAGAGCAAAAAAGAAAATTACTTTATTTGAGGTCACAGAAGTATCTCCTATTCAAGCCAACAGTAGCCAAATTTAGAAGAAAACAAGTGACAGAATCCGGTGTAGGCCGTATCAGTATTTATGCCTTCAAATTCTAACCTCAGTCTGATGCCTTCAGAACAGGATTATGTACCAACAGTTGAAAAAAAATAAATTGCTAAGCCAAGCAAGAACAACATTTTTGTAGTGAAAACAACACTCAGCTTAACAGGCAGTTGTGCAGTGTCTGGGGGAAAAGTCTCTTGTAGAGGTTGAAGGTCCAAGTCAGGCATAGGCACAAAACCTGGCCCCTCTAATGGTGGTGTTGCACAGGGCTCCAACCAGCCAGCACTGCTGAGATTTGGTGAGCTACCCCAGCACAGGGCATCCCAGTCTAAGGCATTGAGTAGTGCTGATGAGATGTGTTTTTGGGGACAGGTCATTCCTTAAAAGGCACCATTCTAATGACATCCCTTTATCCAGAGGAAGAGTTTGTAGTATGGTCCTGATGATTTATACTCCCACGAGTCAAAGCAGACGGGGCAAAAATGTGGGGCTGCCCTGTAATCAGGGCAGCAAGAGTTTTTGCTGATGTCACCAGTGACATCAGCCAAAAATGTGGGGCTGCCCTGTAATCAGGGCAGCAAGAGTTTTTGCTGATGTCACCAGTGACATCTTCCCTACCTACAGATCTATAGGCAACATATACATAAAGTGCAGCAAGGCTGTTAATGCTCCACACTAACAGAGAGCAAGTTAAGATCTAAACGTGCTTGTATTTTGGATGATGTATTTCTTTGTGTTTTAATTACCTTGCAAAAACTGAAGCGTGCATTCTGCACTCTCCATGTATTGATGAGGTTATTTTTCAATTGTGCATCCAAGTTTGCTTCAGCTGATAAGTTTTGCTCGTGAATACAACAGCAAAGGGACAGCTTGTCAGGAAACAATTTAAATTTTATATATTTGGTTGCAGCATTCTGTTTAAGATGGGCTTTGGTAGCCCAGTTAGTAGACATAAAGGTGTTCCAAGCATAAAAACATATCAAGCGGGTTAGCCAGAGTGGCCATTATCTAACCAGAGCATTAACTAACCTAAGTCAATACTCATAGCAGTTAATAAGGTACTTGAGAAAAATTAAAAAGCAAGAAGTCCTTATGATCAGTTGCTTCCCATCACCCAGGCAGTACACCAGGCATCCTTTAATCCTCCCCACCGCAGAGTCTGAGCAGGACTTTCCTATAGTCTCCTGAGCAGTCTCCCTAGAGAGAAAAGAAAAAAGCAACAGAATTAATTTTACAGCTCCGTACAAGGTTGGATTCTTTCCAGCACATACAATTTGTTGTAGGGTTTGTATCTTCTTTGACAATTTAAGAACTAAGAACATTCAGGAACTTTTTCAATACATACGTGTGAAGTCTCCATAATTCCACCTCCTCTAAAATACCCAATAGGTGTCAAGTGGGGACCTCCTTTAAGCTGCTTAGCAAATACAGGCCTGTGTTTCTGACACTGAAAAGCTTACCTTAATGAAGGAATAGAGCGATTTCCCATACATGGTCAGGAATTCCCTTCTGATATCCAGCATATCTACTTCAGAGCGGGACACCATCACTCGGATCAATGTGTTGTCATCTGTTCCCAAGCCCTGAAGAAATAAACCAACCATCTACAGCTACAAAGCATGACAAATCAGTGACAGGAAAAGGTTTTATCACTTGGTTTTCTATGGGATCTGTTCCTAATTAGAGCACTTTTGCATTAAGAGAGTGATCCATGAGCAGCTCACTGCCAAGTAAGCATATTGCTCTGAGCTTCCTGAGGGAAAAGGGGTCCATATAAAATCTCAGACTTTTTTTTTTTTATCTGGAGTTTATCTAATGATTGCTGTCATGCTACTGACTCGAGCATGGAAAGGCAAGGGGAAAAAAAAAGCTCTTTACCTTCATGGATTTATACAGTCTTTCAGCAAAATATGCAGGTTTATTTCGTATGCACTTTACTGTAAGAGGAGCAAGAACAAGAGAATTAAGGTCAATAAAAACTGAAGGAGGAGGTCTTCCAAACATTTACAGAACTTTCTCAGTGAAGGTGTTTATGCTCTAAAGGTGCAATTCAGGGTCAACAAACAGCAAGTACAATGCAGACATCCATAGTCAGTGACCTGCCGTAAACTGATGTCTCCATACCTGGTACACAGTAATATTTTCTTTAAGGCTTTAATGCTTCCTGACAGTAAATGTCAGCTACCAAAGCATCACATGGGAAAGGAAACAATATCATAAAGCACAGAGCTTTCTCAGCCAATTGTATCTGCAAAGATTAAAACGCTGTGGTTTGCAAAAAAGGCAGACAGTATCTGCCTCCTGAAGCTATGTAAACAGCCAGCCAGGGCAAGATACAATATCTCTAATTATTTAATTACTTTGTAGACAAAGTTTAAAAGCAGAGAACTCACCCACAGCTAACAAAGCATCTTCAAGGTCTCCTGACATCTCAGATTTAATGCTGTCTGTTATGTCCTTATTAGCAATCCCTCTGTATTCATCAAAAACTAGGAGGAAGAGTCAGTGATAAAAAGAGTGAGATGCTTCAGGGCATACAGTGTGTAAACCACTAAGGATCACTTCGCAAGATCAAGCTCTTCATACTCTGTATGAACGTTGTACCATTATTGTGACATTGTAAGCTAAATCAGGGATGTCCCACAGAAATAATTCATTTTAATTATCAACTGTCTTGCTAATTGGCCTACCGCTGCAGCTAGCATTTTCAAGAACTGCTAGTTAATGATGGCAGTTTAAATGCTTAGCTCTGCCCCAATGGGAGTCATACTTCATTATCTCCAATTTACAGGCTGAAGCAAGTTGTACTGATGTTTTTCTCAAGTCTCTTTTTGTCTAAGAGGGAATAAAACGGTCGTTAAGAATTGAATGCAACTGGGCTCTAGGATACCTGCTGTCTCACAAAGAGTTCACAGTCAGTTAATGAAGTACAAAGCTTCTACAAAAGCATCATCCTCAAGGAAAACCAGCTAGAACACCACAGAGGGTCCTACCTCTTAGTAGGTGATATCTGTTCCGTGTACAGAGGATGGCCATAAATTGTACCTCATCTGTTCCCCATTTCTTCTCCCCAGCTTCATACAGGCACTTGAAGACATTATAAATAGTTAAGGTAAGGCTAATTGAGAAGACCAGGTGTACATAACATGAGATTTTTACTTCCTCAGTGCCTGAGCACTGCTGGCCTGTGGCTTGTCTATATGACAGATATTGTCCAACAAATACTAAGCACAGCAACTCTCAACTGAACTGTCATCTCCCCTCCCAAATACCCAGCCTGTCTAGAGACCTCTCACCAGAGTTGCAAAGGAGGCTAGAACCATTATCCCCACTTCACTGGCTAAGTCAGAACAGGGAAGAGGCTTCTCTAAGGGTCAAAACTGAGAACAGACCCCAAATCTCCACTTAGGGTGCTGCTGTCTAGCATAGCTTCAGGCTTACTGTTCTACCTTGGAAAAAAATGAGATCTAGAAAAAGCGGGGATTCACCATGCATCACATCTACAAGAACAGACAATTCTTGCAAGGAAGCAAATTTTTACACACCTGAGCATCTTGTTGAGCAAGGGCAGCATCCACATACGTTCCCTCATCTCTGTTACCCTGCAGAGATACAAGGATGAAAAACTCATTTCACCAGAGCAACTAATGGAAGCAAGTCCTGCAGATTCCTCCTTCAAAACAAGTTACTGGAGGTGCATAATGGGTTCGTTAAAATTGAATAGTAGCTTACAAATACAGCAAAATATGGCTCAGATGTGATTTGTACTTCCTTTTGGAATAAGCAGCCATCCACCTTAACTGGGCCATTTTAAAAAGAGCAGATGGCATTAGTGCATACCCAGAGTCAGATTCCTCTCCCTTTAGAAGCTGGGTGTGAAAAGCAGGTGAGGTGAAATGCAAGATAAGTGAAATAAAAGCCAGCCTGAAAAGAGGCGCGTCCATCATCAGCAAGAAGATTCACTCCCACTTCCCTTAGCCTGGACTTACTGTAGCAAGGGACACGAGGACTCTTCGAAACATGGAAGATGTGTCAGAGACAATGTCGTCCTCAAGGGTACAGCCATATTCTAGCAAAAGCACACACACACATGACATCTGTTAGTAACAGGTCCACCACCTGGACACTGTTTGTCCGGAACATTTGCCAGCCGTAAGCTAGGCAAGGGTATAGAATCATTCAGGTTGGACAGGACCTTTAAAATCATTGAGTCCCACCATTAACCTAACACTGCCAAATCCATCACTAAACCATATCCCTAAGTGTCACATCTACACATCTTTTAAATACCTGAACACAGAAAAAAAAACCTGAACACGATATTTGAGGTGTGGCCTCACCAGTGCTGAGTACAGGGGGACAATCAGTTCCCTAGTCCTCCTGGCCACACTATTTCTGGTACAAGCCAGGATGCTACTGGCCTTATTGGCTATCATCATAGCAATCCAGACATCGTATCTAGTGCTACAGGGCAAAATTAAGAAGCACAGCCAGTATAAAACTGGCAATAGATCCACACAAAGACAAACATCCAACTGATAGACATAACCAACCCATCCTGTTTTATTTACACCAATTAAATTTCTGCATGAAATTCTAATCCTTGAGGCTGTTAGCAGTCCTGCTGTTGACATCTATTTAATTCAGAGGTTCTCTCTGGACAAATGGCAGCAGTTGTACTGGCTGATTTGTCACACTTAAAGGCTAACAGACCCCTCTCCTTCCTCTTCACATGGCCACGCATACACACAAGTGACTTTTCACAGAGTATGACAATGGCTTGCAGTTTTCACTACATACGAAGTTTGTAGTTCTCATTAATACGCCGAATCTCTTCATTTGTGCGAGAAGCCAGAATTTCAATCAGGCAACCTTCATCTGTTCCTGCACCCTAGGGAATTGCAAAGACAAGATCCAAGATTATAATGACAATGGTTTTGATGTGCAACTATAATCCTTTTTAAAAATTATATGTAAGTTAATAATAAAAAATTAATAATAATCATATAGTTATGCCATATCATACTAAATTGACCAGAACTTAAGCAACATAAAAGGAATATTTACGAACCTTCACAGCCCTCCTCAGTTCATGCACATCGTACATGGTGGTAGGAGTCATCATACCAATGATGACCCTTTCAAAATTCCCACTGAGCTCAGACTTCAAGTCATCAATTAAATCCTAGAAGACAGAGAAAGGAGTTGTGAGAAGATACAGCCTTTGAGAACAGAATGAATTAATTCACCACTTTTCTTCATGCTGCAACCCTCCTTGGATGAACAGTTGCTCTGAAGCAAACAAGACCAAAATAAACTTGGCCAGGGAAAGCTTATGCTAACCTTACTGTTGTGGAGACTAGAATGTAGTTCACATTTCACCCATAACCCCAAAAATGTCTGCATCTCCCAGTTAAAGCCACTAATCGCTGAAGACCACCTACCCTGCCAATACTGCTTTTATAGGTGATCAGAACTTGCTGACGTTGGGAAACATTTAGTTTGGTCAAGATCTCGATGATCGCATCTTCATCTGTGCCTGGAAGAAACCAGTGGAAACCATTCAGGCTGCTTGCACAAGAACCAGAAGCATGCTCTGGTGTTGTCCAGATTGTACCATCAGCCATCTTCTGTTCCTTACACAACCTGGTTCTCAACAGCACTGGGGACTAGATCAACGTATAGAAGTGCCTCAGCCCAAACAGTGGCATGACAATCCCACACCGCAGGAGAGACATGACAAGAGCCTGACTAAGGATTTTTTTCTGGCCAAGACTCGGATTTCCAGTTTGGGTTCAAGTCTCAGCCTGATCAAGTCACTCAATGCCTTTCAGTGCCCTCACAGGAGAGTGGGGCAATGCAGATGGCTAGACTTCCCCTCTAACAAACCACCACACAAAACATTCCCAATGCTTGGGGGGAAAAAAGAGAGTTTAACAGTGGAGGGAGATCAACTTACCAAATCCTTTCATAGCCTTCCTTAGTGCCTGTGCTTCTTGCTCAGCACTGAAACTTGAGACCCCCTTGATTGTTGCCTAAACCCACAGGAGAGGAGTTACGAAAGGCAGACTCCAAGTGATACGTACATACAGTAGATTTGAATTAAAGAAAAAATAATTCAAAAGATGCAAACACAGTGACAGCAAGTGAAGTCCACCCACCAAACAGGAGTGATTTTATACCAGGCTTCCATCCTACCCTAAAGAGAAGTAGTTTGTTCTAGAGGGACTTTTCAGCCACATAAGAAAGAAGCCACAGGGACACAACTAAAAGGAGAAAATATCTTCATATAGATGCCCATGGGGTACCCGGTTTCCGAATAATGACAAGCAGCCTGACATGTTCAGTCCAGCCGGGGCTTCTTCCCAGCAGTTTTCCACATAAATCATAGAAGAGACTGTTGCCATCAAAGCCATATTCCTGACTTCTCTAAGAGCATCCAAGGACCTTAATTCTGTAAAATACTGCACCAGGAAGCACGGTATTTTACTTTAAATAGTGGTTCACAGACATTTCTCCTGCCTCCCGCCCAGTGCCATTTATGTGGAACTACACTGTCTCTTACAAAGCTTTCCCTGTTCCCATGAAAATCATCAGCAAAGCACTGCTTAACATTTGTGTAGGTTAGGCTTTCCAAAACAGGCACAGGGATAACTACCATATAGACGGCTACCTTGCAGGTTAAACCTGGAAAGAGTAATATGCCCAGGAAGTTTATCTAGAGAAATTCGTGCTCTTTGAACTAATATCTGATCAGATAGCTCCCAAAATGGAAAAGACTGTATGTGTGGGTCATTCTCCTCTAGTATGAGGAAGCAGAGAGAAGAGATAAACTCACCCCCCATAAAGAGACAGACAATGACAGTGTTCTTCCTGCTGTGTCCTTATCTGAGCTACGCTCCCCTCATTTATCTGATCAGAGCAAAGGCTTGGCACAGCACGGTACAGAAAACACACACACTCACCATCCTTCTCGTATCTGGTCAATCTGTTATTGTCTGAGTCCCCAGGCAGTTAGACAACTGTAATAAAAACAGAGAAAGTGTTAGTTTTCTAGCAAATAATTAATAGAATATACCTACCCTTACCAGTTAATGTGCCTGGTTAAATAACCATCTAATTTCTCTGAGGACTAAAAGCAACACTTGAACAGCCCTACTGAATGCCCATAGCAGCACCCCTGAGTTTCCAGTCCTGCTTTGTACCAAACGAACAAAAGCTGGTTTGCAACAGCATAGGGCCAGAGCATTCACCCTGTCTGAAAGAGCGATGTGGTGCACAAGCAGATGATTAGCACTAGTAATTTAAGAAATTTCTTTTCTATTGCTAGTATGATATCCTGGCTGAGGCTACAAGGCGAAGTAGACAATGTTGCCCTGGGAGCAAAGAAAATAGTCTTAATTCCCATGCCCTCCAAAGCACATGGCTTTGACCTTGCTAGGTGAGAGCCTGAGGGTGAATTAGGGTGAGGGTGCCTGCACAGTCCCAACAGCCTTCACAGATACTCCCTGGGAGGCAGAGACAACATCAAGGTGTAGATGAGCATGCAAAGCATAACCTCACTCGGGGACTGGAAGAAGGAGAATTATTTTCCCTCTTACTTAAAATCTGCTGTATTCAACATCATCTTAGTTTGATGCAATGTGTAATTCCTTTTAGGACTGCAGTTTTAACTGACTGTTAAAGCCCTCAAGAGAAAAAAAAAAAAACATACAGCTTACTTGTCATCTCCCAAGGGTTATTTTTCTGCTCATAATTTTGTTTTCACGCGTAGGGCCTACACATGAACATACCTAAAGTATTTTACTATATCTCTGGTCAGTTGACAAGATGTCAAGTACTGGGACAAGGTTCACTTCCCTGTAACTCAAGTTCACCACAGCATGAACTGAGATTCTTGCATTAAAGCCCTTAAGTAGAAGCAGCGATGCCAGTGGCTGGCAATGTCTCTGTTTAATCCTCCTGCTCATGGTGCTTAATAGTGACTTATCAGTGAGCCCAGACAGTTGTGCAAGAACAGGAGCATCTTTGCTCATGCTTCACATGACTCTTACAAATCTGGAATACTATCAGAGGGTGCTGTTCAGGCAAGTTAACTCTGTGTGACACTTGCCATAAATGTGTTACTCAGAGGCACTCCCAAGTGCTCTCCAAGTCATCTGTGTGTTACTACACCCTATGCAATCAGGCAACATATGGAAAATTATTAGTGTTGAGTTTGCTTTCTTCCATTTGATTATAGATTTCAGTGGTCAAATGATGACCTCAGAAAAGTCATCTTTGCTCCTCTCTAATCTTTTACAGAAATATAAAGCCAACTTTATTTGCCTTAGCCAGACACTAAATAATGGCTTTGAATTTTGCAGTTGTTTTTCAGATGCAGTATTACCACTCAGTTGGTTTGTTCACAGAAGCAGGAATATTAGATAGGCTGGTTCAGCAAGTCAATTAGAAGGCAAGAGAAAGGTCAATAAATAAGGAAAGGAAGTGGGAGGCAGAAAAATTCTGAGGGCAAATGAGCTGGAAGGAGGAAACCAAAACATGAGGAAAGGATGCATCTACTGGATTCAGGGCAAATGCTCCTGCAATATCAAATTACAACAAAAATGCCACACTGAATATTGACTGTAAGATTCCTATTTCTTCATCCAGCTTAAATGTCACTGGGAACATAAAGAGTAGAGCACCGCAAAAGGCAGCAATGCTAACCCCACTGCACAATCTGCAAATGCTGCTTTGTTCCCAGTATATTTCTGTGTGTGGTGTCACAAGAAATGAGCCACAGAAGTCACAAGTGGAAGTGCTTGGCAGTACAACCAGGTTCTCCAGCAATGGTCCCTGCCTCTGTAACCCTTTTGCTCCCCTTCACAGCTGAAGGTGTCTCCATGAACTGCTCAGGCTGGGGCATTAGATGAACAAAACTCTCCCAGCCACCCTATTTGCTAGTAGAGAGAGAAAGGAATTGCTCAGTCGGATGTGCCAGCGCTCTGCAGCTTAACACAATTCCAGGTCTGCAGCTCAAATGGGGAAAACCAGCTTCAGGATAGGAGCAACACTTAACTCTGTGTTTTAAAGAATTAAACTATGCATGCAAAGAGTCAGCTAGCAAGTGCTAAGGTGCCCTGGCTAATCACTGTCCTGATGTTAAGTGCTTCATCCCAGAATAAAGGCCTGAGCTTGCTGATAGAGTAAACCTGGCTTAGAACAGGCTTCAAAACACTGTGGCCGGATGACAGAGTGCAGGTATACAAGGCATCCTTCCCATTATTAAAATTTTTACCATGGATGATCTTTTCCTGGCAGGCTTTGTCAGCTCATCAGGCACTTATAAGTCCACATCAATGTCCTCCAAAAGCTGAATCCAGAGTAGACTTCATTTATCAGAAAACAGCTGAAACTATCGTGTGTGCTGGCCCATTCAAATCGATGCTTGCTCTGAACCAAGTTTTCCTGACTGTGCACGGAGCACGCAGCTTCCAGCAAGCAAAGGTCCCAACAGCTTAAGAGGATATAAACATCTTCCCACCCCCTTCCCCCCCCCCCCCAAGTTTAAGCTCATGAACATGTTGCCAGTCCTATATCTAGGGTCTGGAGAGGAAAACTACTGTTTTGTGACCCATCCCCTTGCAAGGCAAACACTGGACTTGTTTGACTAGTTTTTTCATTTGGTACACGTTTACTCGAACACAAACCCACACCCTGCGCCAGATCAGCTTTTCCATGGCTCTTGCACCGCCAGCGGTTTCCAGGGTGCTGGAGACAGCCCGCTCCCTCGCAGCCGGCTGTGCTTCAGGGAGGCAGAGTGCCCCGGAGTAGGTCTGGGGCTCATAGCTGGGTGACTGACTCTGATCCCAGCCCAATTTGCAGCTCGGCATAGGATCTCCCTTCTTCTGGCAAGCCCCGAGCCAGCTGAAATATCCCAGCACCTCCCACACGATGACCTTTTCCTGACCACTGCCCTCAAAAGGAATAAAAATATAATACTGTGTTAGCAGAGCCTTGTACTCCTCGCTTCAGCCTGTGCACCCGCCCAAAGCCGCTTCACAAGCCCTCTGCCATGCCCTCCACGCTCCAGCACCCAGCGGGGAGGACGTGCCAGCTTGGGCACGGGGCACGGCAGAAATAGGAAGAAAAACCTGCGCTCCCCGTGCCTGGGAAGAGTCAGCCATCTTCCTCCTTCCCACAACCCACCTCCCCGTCCTTCCCCACCCCGGGCCTGCACCTCCAGGGCTGCCCCAATGCCCTGGCATCGTGGCCCCGATGGGGCATCTGCCCAGCCAAGGGCTGTCCCACTCCCGCACAGCCGCACTACCAGCCCCGGTTCTCTGGCAAGCCGGGATGGTGTTTGGCATCTTCCAGCCGTGCAACCCCTTCCCCGTGGCCGAAGGAGACCCCCCCCAGTTAGTTTGGCACTCACCTGCTGTCTCAAGCGGGTGCCTTGGCAGGGATGGGGAGATCTTTGCTCGGCTTGTCCTGGATGGCAAAGTCCCCGCCCTGGAGCGGGGTGGGACTCGGCACAAAGCAGCTTTTCTCGCACGCCTGACAGGAAGGCAATCCAGCTCTGCTCCTCTCCTCAGCCCTTCCGTAAACAATTGGTTGTAATCCAGAACAGGGAGAGATTCTCCAGGGAGCCTCATGCACATTTAGGAAATGCACATTTAGAGTTACACATTGGCCCTTGCAAGTAAAGGTGGCCTGGCAGGCTCAGCTGGCGTCTACCCTCCCCTGCATTGCCTGTAAAAATCTCTGGGAACAGAGGGGGTCTCTGACTGCAGCCCGAGCGCACAGCCAGCTCTGAGCTCTCGCTTTATGCTGTGGTGTAAAAGGGCATACCCAAGGGGGGAGCGAGGGGGACGACGGTGCGGAGCACGCAGTCAGCAACAGCCTTGAGCAAGAAGTCCTGTTCCTCCCCTTGTGCTGTTTGTGGGGACTTCTTACCTGTACTGTGCCTCCTTTGCTCCCGCAGCACCTCTCCAGGGCTTCAGCATTGTTCCCCCTTGTCTAAGAACCACAAACAGCCATGATTTCTGTAAAAATTATTATTTTCATAAATATTATTATTTTTGCCCCAATAAATGGCACCACCCTCAAGTCAAAACACTCAGGCAAAAGGACTTCAGTTTTACCCCAATGTGACACTGCCAGGGTCAGCCTTGGACATGATCATGATGCTGACAGAGGGAGATCAGCCTTGCAGTAATACACGTCTTGTCTTCACTGTGTTTATCCTCAGGGACTTTGGTCTTCTCTGATGCCAAAAGTACAGTTATTATAATGGGTAAGTCAACCCTCTCAGGTTCTTTTTTCCAGCTCATATGACAGTTATATCTTATCCCTGTGCCTCTGCACATGCTCTTTTGCTGGAAGAGACCTAAATTTAGCAGCTCGGATGAAAGCAGTCTGTGCTCCAGTGAGCATGTCTGTGCGGCTGGCTTATTATAGCTCCCACTGCAGCTTAGTCTCCCAAAAACAACCCCAGAGAGGCCAGCCAGCCAGCATCTACTCACTCCCTGCTGATGCAGGGGGACATTGAACAGAGGGTAACAGAAAAACAGGGTTCAAGCCATAAGCACTCTCCTTTTCCATTGCAGAGTCCCTTTCCTTGCAAAATCTGGCACTTTACCCTGACCAGGATTCAGTGTGGACTAGTACATATTATCAACAGTCACTAAGGAGAAATTCTTCTCTTTCCTACATCTGTTAAAATTTCCATTCTCATCCTTTCCTCTCACGTCAGCTCTCTCCTGCTCTGGGCCCTCACTCATTTTAATCCACCAGCAGAACTACTGTGTCTCTCCATCTTATGTTGCCTGTGATTTTTTTAGCCTGTGTATTTTCAAAAGCTTCATTCCTCTGTTTGCTTTCCAGCCTCTTCAACACCGAGGACTGGATGACTCTGACACTGCAGTCAATGGTATATGCAGTAGTAATTATTTAAGACCACAAGTCATTCTTCTTCTTTGTAAGTTATTTATCCTTTAAATATTGCACCAATCCTGCCATTCAGGATTTGCATAACTTAACCTTTTCTTTCCCCCAAGAGAGGCTCCAAGTAGGGAGGAATACGTGAAGATTCAAAGTGTTTGTGTGGATGTTTTTAGCCACCCAGAATTAGTCATGTAAGTGTAGTCCACTCAGAAGCCAGATCCTGACCCACGACACAGTGGAGTTCCCTATAATCTTGGCTGGTTATGGATGCTGGCTCTGTAGCCATCTGATTTAGACAATCTCTCTAAGAACCCTTTGTCTAGGGTCTGCTCAGCTTTCAGCACGTTGTCTTCATCTCTTAAAGGATGCAAAGACTACAGCTATCCTTAAATATCTCCAGCCTGAAGCACTGTCTAGCATAGCTTTACTGTCCCCACATCAGAAGAGGGACAGTAGTGGACAAGCCCACAATTCCTATCAGCATAGTGATAAAGTACATTACTTTTCACTGATATTTCCTGTTTGTCTCACTGGTTATTTTAAACCCCTTTTAAAAAGCTCTCCAAATCCCCAGGCTTTACTTGGTTGCATACCTACTCTGTATTCCCATTATATCCTGCTATGTTCCCATCTCTACAAAAGACATAATAAAAATTAAAGGTCACAGAAAGACAGGGCAGTGTGCATTAAGTAAATAAATAGAGCTCAAGCAGCCAGCCTGTTAAGCATGAGGTATTTATTCTAGGTCCCACAATGAAAACAGAGCTGAACCTCTTGGAAAATGGCAGCATTTGTGTTTTTGCCCTAAGGACCTGGCCTTTTATATTTGCACCTCAGAGTAGAGGAGCCTGGTGCTGGAAGAAGAGATTTTCAGTATGTCATTGTATTAGCAGGTACCTTTAGCTTTAGAGAAACAGCCTCATTTCATTCGCTGAGGTCTGCATCCTGGCACTAAGGAAGTCTTTAGCCAGGCTCCCACAGATTTAAGTGAGGGCCAGAATTTGGGCCTTTGGGGGTTATGCAGGTGTTTTGAGGAAGTTCATAAAGGAATGCTCATTTTTATACTTGAGCACCAGCAGTTTGCCATCAGCAGCCCCTGAAAATGGGGTTATTCAGCTGTAGCACAAGTGCTGCTGGAGCTACATTGCGATGCTGTAGCTCAGTTAGATTACTGTCTCCATAGCAGCGGGTACCCGAGGTTAGGGTGGAGGCTGAAAACCAGCGCTTGCTTTTCTAAAACACTGATTTTCACATGCTTGTAATAGGGTAAAGAATTCTCGTTCTGCATATTAATATCAGATTAATCACAAAGTTAACTGCAGATATTAGGACTTGCTGCAGAGATGTAGGGGTACTTTTGATACTTAGAGCAAGGATGCCTCCTTACCTCCAGTTCAGCACCGTATAAGATGAAACATCCATTTCCACAAGTCAGAGGTAGCCTTGGTGTAGAAACAGTGGTGTTCTGGGGAAGACCCTAGGAAGAGCCAGCCTGAAAATTTTGTTCTATTATTTGAGCAAGGCTCTTTTAACACAGAGAGAAGGAAGGTGACAAACACACTCCCAGAAATAGGTAAGCAGTGTTTATTTGAGGTGGGCAGACTGAAATATTCCAATTCATGTAAGAAATGCAAGTGTTCTTAGCTCTTCATTATTTGCCATAACCATAGAAACAGTGTTTTTACACTGTATTACCAGGGGAATGTGCAGCATTCCACCTCTAGGCAGTTCAGACTGAATTCTACAAAGCCCTGAGCATAGCATACCAGTACTGCTTTGCAAGTCAAGGGCTCTCTGGATAGACCTGGGTTGATTACACCAACATACATGTCACATAAGGCCAAGAAGGAACAGAGGAGCAGAACTGATTTGAAAAAATCCCTATAACCTAAAGTGCCTTTAAAACAAGAAACCACTTGGATATGGTGGTCAACACAGCTTAGAAAATAAGCTATAAGGGGAGACAGTGATGAGCAGCTGTAAGAAATAGCCAGGCATCGAACTCTCCATTTCAAGGGTGCTTCAATTACAAGATTTTTAAGACGGGGATCCTTGCACGTTCTGCAGGCATGCACAGAGGAGATCCTGGATGCTATTACTATTTATAAGTGACAACTATACAGTGTCTTAGGTGCTACTGCACTCAGTGCTTTCCACACTGCTGTCCCACAGCATATGCTGTGTTGACACGATCTCAGAAATACCCACACGCTATGCCTTTCTCCTACAGAGGAACTTAAGGCTGCTCTTGGCCATAAGCCCAGTCTACTGCTTTCTTTTATTAAATAAAGCTATAAACAGTATAGAAGGCAACCAGTCCTGGGCCATTGGTTGTTTGACATCTGCCTGTGTTAATGAATGCCATCCACAGGGGGACTGGAGCCAGCAACCACCTCTATAGTGGGGTTGTGAAGATGGTTTGGAACTTGTAGAGTAACACTTTGACCTTCAAAAGAGCCCTTTGCAGTCATACAAGTTGTCACTTGCTCTTGATCCTAGTTGTGTTGTCTTACCTTCCACAGTTCTAACTGAGCAGAGGAAAACATGTCTGCTTTAACATCTGCAGCAGAACTTAAGGCACAGGCTGTGGCAGAAGATGCACAGGAGTCTTCGCATGATCTGGAGTTGCCTGGCCTTGATAAGGCATTCCCATCACTTGCTGGGAAGACATCACCTAGTGTGGATGCAGTGCTGCTATCAGGATTATAGTGCTTGTCATGGTATAGCCTATCTACATTAAGGACAAGAGAGGGTTCAAGCCACACACCCTCTCCTTAGCCATTGCAAAGTCTTTTCCTGCAAAATCTGGGTGAGACCACTATAATTGCATTCACATTACAGTTTATACAAACATAATAATTTTATCTCAACCCCCCACTATCAAGACTAACTGATACCATTTAAGCCCGACACCTTAGGGCATTTGCCAGCTCCATGGAGACACATTCAGTCAGGGAAACTCCTACTGCCCCTGTGGAAGCTATATATTATTTGTGGTATAACCTAAACCCTCCTTCCCCAAAGCTGCAGGCTATAAAATGGTACCCCATTGCTTCCAGCAGCCTTAAATGCATTATTAAACCTAAATTTCATTTAATGGGCTTAATGAATGTTTATTTCAATTAGCATACATATAGTTCTGAAGAGGAAATGAGTAGCTTTCACTTTTTTCTTCTTAATTAATATCTGCCTCTATGTAGATTTATCTTACTTAGCTGTTCTGTAATTTGGCTATAACCCAGCTCTAGGGGATGGAAACAGAGCTATGACTGCCCAGCTAAGGGAGACTTCTAAGGCACATATGTATTCATTCCTTCACAGACCTAGGATAGAAACTCACTGGCTGATACAGTGCTTGGAGTGAGGAAAACATGCTAAGCATCTTAACATGATGTATCTAGTGCTAAAAGGCAACAAGAGCAGGGGTGCTCCACAAGAAAAAACAAGCTAGGAACAAAGGATGCTGACAGCACTGCAGGTGACCCTGCAGATAGGACCCAGTCCTACCACATGTAAAGATAACCAGGGGCATTAACCAGCTTCACCAACTACCTAGTGATCATAAGGCAAAACAAGGAAGTCCACAACCTACCCAGGAAAACAAGGTAGAAACACTAAGAAACTGCACTACTCGAAACGCAAATCCAGAGCTCACCCAGCACACCCAAAAGACAACACCAGAACACCCTACAACTGCCTCAAAGAAAAAGTCTCCTGGGCCTACACTTAAATGGAGGTCACAGTCAATGGGCAAAGGGTGCTGGATAGAGCCCCAGGTGGGACTGCTTGGGGCAACGAAAGCCTGCAGGTATGCTCAGGACCCTGACACTTGAAACACAGTTGATAAATCCCTTCTCAGTGAGAACCCAGTCTGCAAACTTCTCTTCATGCAATGATACCTGCTTTTAACAGCATCATATATTTAGAGTGCAAAGTCATGCTCCTTGAGAATACACAGCTCTTTTTGTCTTGGTCAATCCTATTGAGGGGCACAGAATCAATATAGGCTATGCATAGTATTGCATCAAACATGCATAAGCCTAGAGATCTCAATCAGGTTAATTATTTCCTTGTGTGCTTACCATATAAATATATAGGCCATGAATTCCATTACTATTGATGGAAGATGTTGGCTTCTAGCTGCAAGAAGTGTAGTTATTGCTGGATCTAGTGAGTATGTCTTACTAGGGCAAATATCAGCACATAAGAGGTAGAAGCTTTTAGTTTTTAAACAGGTAAAATGCAGACAGGAGTTTTAGAATCTCTGCTACTCTGCAGAACTCTGAAGCTAACTATAATCCTAGCTACATGATAGTATGCTTGAGAGTTGACCTTTTCTTGGGGGGTGATAAAGAAAAGTAATGGCTTTTCTGGTTATACTAGTAGTGGTTTGGGGCCACTGGTATCTCATTAAAAGAGATTCTTGGATTTCAGAATATTACGGCCAGAAAGAGAGATGGCTAGAATAGTGGCTCTACTACTCTGTAGCTGGTGAGAAGTTTGACAGAAAGTTTTGCAGTAAATGTGTGCGGTTAAGGGAACATCCTTACCAAGATAAAAATAACTGGATGAGAAGACTTAATTAATATCGACTAAATACAGGAAAATATGATCATTACCTTGTCGCCCCTGGATAGTTATGTAGAGCCAAGCACAGAAAGCTGCGCAGGCTTTCTACCTTGTTGCCACTTCTTGAAACGTCCAGAAGAGGCCAGTGTGCCCTTGCTTTTAGGTTACTTGCATTAAACCTTTCTAAACGTATGTTTTTGTTTAGAAAATGCTGAGCTGTCTGGAAAGTTTGATCAAGAGGGATGCAGCTGTACTAATGTGCTTCTTCCCGGAGATTTGAATGCATTTTCTTAGCAGTATAGGGGAACCAGGGATCAGGGAGACAATATGCAGGCAAACAGCTCTGCTGACCACATCATCAGGATTTGAATATTTTAAAACCAGCATCGTGGGATTTTAACAGCTAAAATTTGGTGTTTAGGATTGACAGTATTAGTCAGACTGGGGTTTTCCTCTGCAGTGTGACAAATCTATGAACACCCTGGAGTTGCTCCAGGCTAACACAGGACAAGTACCAGGCCATGTCTCTGCTGGCAGTCACTGATTAGCTTTTTCACTTAAAGCTTTTGTGCTCAGTCCTCTCTGATCCCTATGAAGGTCACCCGGATTGCAGCAGTGCAGCCGAGCCTCGTGTCTTCTGGAATAAAGAATATCATCAGCATCTGCAACTGAGGATTGGCTTCTGCTGTGCTTTTGCTCCCCAAATGGTCACCGACAGGGTTTGTATGCCTGTGGCCAGAATATCAGGGCCCCATAGTTGTATGGGGGTCTGGCACTGCATTATACCTCAGCACTCCCAGGTACATTTAAAAAAAATAATTCTCAGTGCCTAGCTAGGATGTTCATCAGTGCATCTGCAAGCTCTCTGCATGGCAGTAGGCTTTATCTTCTTTAGTTGGAAATGAGTCATTTCCCTGTACTGTACAGAGATGCCCAATTTTCTTGGAAATTGTTCAGTTCTGCAGAGTCTCCAGAAACCACTGATTATTGGACTCTCTTTTTGCACTGGGTATTTTACCTCAGTCTTAATAAATGCTTGGGGATGTTTCACATGTTGGAGTAATTAAAAAAAAATATAAAAAATTGACAGAAGCAACTGAAGCTTTACTCAGGTCATATTTAATTTGAAGGGCAAGTGAATCTCCTGTATTGACCACTGGCAACTCATCATATCACAGCTGAGCAAGGTTTATTGAAGATTAAAGCCTGTTAAATGAAAAAGGACTGCTTTCACACTTGTGTTAGCTGACTGGCTGAAACGATAGCAGTTCCAGCTGTGTGAACTTAAGGTGTTTTGTGCATGACACCTGGAAATGAGATGTAGGTAGGAGCCACTCTGCAGCACCCTACAAACTATGGGTGAATGACGGTGGTCGAGGAGGACTTTGCGGTCTGCAGGTTGGCCTTGTGGACCCTTACCTACAAGAACTGCTGAGAACAAAGATGATGGAAGAGGTGTAGCACTAATCATAATGGAGAGGCACAGTAGCTCAGCAGAAAAGCAACCATACAGTACAGGCTTTTAGATCTGTATATCCAACATGCTAAATATTATCACCTGCAATTTTACTTGCTTATTCTGAGAGCCATATGCATCTTAAAAGCCTTCAAAGGCTGGATGGAAAAAAACAATTAGGTCTGTTTACAACATGCTGATCCAGTGTTGATAGCATTGCTGGAAGCCTGTGCCCAAAAGCAATGCAAGAAAAAGGGCTGTGCAAAGGCTAAGCATTTTTGTCATCCCACAGTAACCAGGGCCTTCCCAGCCTAGCCACTTGGGACAGGAGCTTGTCAGCAGGACGGCTGTAGTTATTACCGTAATACAGGAAATAATAGTCATTGGGAAAATGTGAGTGTGCTCTGGCTTCCTTTTCTGTCCCAGTCAGAGGGGAGGAAGGAGATCAGTGCTGTCATGGAAGCATCCTTCTGGCAGCCACGTGTCTCTCAGCGTTCTGTATTCTGCATCGCAGGCTGGGAAAACCAATTTTTGCCATGTTAATTTTTCCCTCTGCTGTTTGAAATCCCAGCTCTGGCCTTCCCTGTTAACACATGGGGAAAGGAGAGGAGCCAGCTGCTGTGAATGCTGTAGGCTGGAAAAATCTGATTTCTGAGAAAAAGGCTGAAAAGAACCAAAAGTGTATTTATAGGAAATTTCACGAGATTCAAGCTCAACTACATTTGTCTGAAGCCTGACTCAAGGGCTTTGGGCTATTTAGATGAGTCGCATTGCTGCTTATGAGCATCTTGCCGCAAACTGTGAAGTACTGGTGTGGGGAGGAGGAGAAGAAAGATGTAATTAATAGCAGATCTAAGGTGCAGGCTTTACCTGACAAACTGCTATGTTTAAAGCACTCAAAGAGTTTCGAGGGCTGGGGATCTCTAGTTTATTTCTAGTTTTATTTGAGACTCTCAAGCCAGGCACTAGCTGCTCGAGAACAAACCTTGTAGTTCAGGTCAAGCACAAGATGTCACAGCAGGGGACTTTTATTATCATGGGACGCAAATATGAAGTTTAAGCGCATTACTTCGAAAACGAATGTAAACAGCTGTCACCAGGCACGGGCCGCGGCTCCTTGCTGACAGGATTTCTACACCCTTTCCTCGCGGTTGGGGGAAGAAATGGCTCCCTGGCACCCTCCGCCCTCCCTGGGGCTGCCGCGGACGCCCTCCCCGCCGGCGGGGCTGAGGGGGAAGCCTCCACCCCGGGATCCCTCTCCGCAGCCCCCTCACCACCCCGCCAAAACGTCGCCCCCGCGCCCCCCTCCTCTTCCCCCCCCACCGGGCGCCGCTGCCGCGCTGCATGCCGGGAGTTGTAGTCCCCGTCGCGGCGGTGCGGCGCCCACCGCAATTACCGCTTGGAGAACGGGAACTACCGCTCCCACGCTGCCGCGCGGCGGGGCAGGCTGCCGCCATTCTCCCTACCCCGCCCCCCCCCGGCAAAAGGGCATTTGCCCCTCCGCCGCAGTGTGGGGAGGGTGGTTGCGCCCCCGGGGGGGGCTCCGCTGGTGGCGACACCGTGGGGCAGCGGGGCCCGGGGGAGCCCTCCGGGCTGGCGGGGGCGCGGGGGCGGTGCTCCCGCCGGCAGCCGGGACTTCCTGTGACAGCCCATTTCCTGGTCGGATGGGGCCGGCGGGGGTTGGCGGCGGCGGCGGCGGCGGCGGGGTCGGTCCCTGACGGGCTCGGTGGCCGCCGGGAGCTCCGCCAGGCAGCGATGCGGGCCCCGGGCCCTGCCGGCAGGCGGCCCCCGCCGTGACCCGCCGCGGGCAGCCGGTGGGGCTGCGGCAGGCCGGCCCTGGGCGCCGCTGAGGGGGTGCATGGAGGCACCCCCCGCCCGCGGAGAGGTACCGGGCGGGGGGCCCTGTCTGTCAGGGCTCCCCTGAGGGGGCTGCGGTGGCCCGGGCCGGGCCGTGGGGATAACCGCCTTTCCCCTCCCGTTATCCCCCCTGTGGTTTTGCAGGTGTGAATCCCCCGGAGGACAGCGCGCCTGCTCTGCTCGGCCCCACAAGGCGAGCGGCCCCGGATCCCCCTCGCCGGCCTCGGCCGGGCAGCTGGAGGAACAAGGAGAGGGGGCTTAGGACCATTAAAAATAGCATCGCCCCCCCCAGAACCAGGCAGCTGCTGCCTCCTGAGACATGAAGAAGTTTTTCGACTCGCGGCGGGAGCAGGGTGGCTCTGGCCCTGGATCGGGCACCAGCGGCGGTGGCGGTGGCAGCGGTGGCCCGGGCAGCGGGTACATCGGCAGGGTGTTCAGCATCGGCCGGCACCAGGTGACGGTGGACGAGGTGCTGGCGGAAGGTAAGGCCACCGAGCGCTCTGCCTTTGCTTCTTTCCCTCCTCCGTTCCCTTACAAAGCTGGAAAGGGAGGCTTTGGCCTTTACTGTGCACTCCACCTCCCCCGCTATTCCTAGCTCCCCTAATATTTCATTGTCCTTGACAGACTTGCAATCCGGTGGCATCTGCAAGCTGACATTTCTGGTCTTCTGATCTGTAAACCCAGTGTGGGTTTGCTGGATTTGGTTTGGGTTTGTTTTGCTTTGTTTTGTTTTTTTTTTGTTTGGTTTGTTTTTTTGGTTTTTTTTTAATGCACTAGAAACTGAGGGGATTTTAGAAGTTGTTTCCCACTTTCCCCGAGCTGGGAGTTTGTTTAAAAAAAAAAAAAAAAAAAACAAACCCCAAGTTGTCAAATGTTTTGGTGCAGAACAAGGTGCTGTAAATAAAAAGCAGTGGCTTTCGCTCTAACTTTCTTCAACCAGTTGCCTCCTCTCCTACCTGAAACAGAGAGGAATAAAACACTGGAGTAAGCTCCTTGTAGATATGTCATGCACATAGGTAGACTGAGTATGGCTAGCTGTGATCTAGAGAGATTTCTGTTTGTGTGGGGCTTCCGCAGGGGAAGTGGTAATCCCAATAGCTTTTTTTTTTTTTTCTTCAAAATAAAACAAATAACTAAAAAGGAACAGTGGGGATTATAGAACTCTTTATGTGCACAGTGCTTGCAGTGCAGCAAGCTGTTGGTGGTGGTTTTTAATTGTAAATAGCACTACTGCTTTAACTATCATTTTACATTTAATTTGTTTGGGCTATAAGGAACCTAATGAATATCTCTGGCTGGTAACCTTAACCTCGACCTTCAGAGAGATGTTGGCCTCAGACCTGCTCCGGCTCTATCTCCTGCACAGCATCCTTTGCAATTTCAGTCAAAACAGTGTTTTGTTTTGATCTTGTAATTGTGAAGGGGAGAGTAGATGCTGTATGAGAGCTGAGTGGGAGGACCTGTGTTGGCTTTTACAGGAAGAACCCTAAAATGGAAAAGGGACTCTGGGTACACTGTGTGCATTCAGGTTTGTAAAAAGTCACCACAGTGTACAAGGAAGTAGATCTGTGACCATCTTTCAGACATGCTTTCTGATATGTTCTGCTGCATGCTGAGCTGAGAGGAGCACTGAAGCCAGTCCTTCAATTAGTAACTATAGTGATTTTTTTTTTTTTTTTTCTCACTTCAAATTTGCAATACAGGTTTGCCTTGGCTGATATTTCCAAGGCTCTTTTGGCCCTAGGAGCTTAGGAACTACATGAGCTAAACCTGAGAAGCTGTCACAGCCTTTTTTTAATGCAGACTGGCCTCATCCTGGTAACATGGGGAAACAGAGGCTTTTTTTGCTGATGAATAATCTGTTGGCAGGTTCTGCCCCGGTGCTGACAGCACCAGGAAGCAAGCCTGTGTGTCACTGGGCTCTGTCCCGCTCATCATGCCTAGGCTAGAGCCACCAAGGGTGCGAGGTGGTAGCACAGATTGTGTGGGAGAAGTGCCTCCCCTCCGTACTTCCCTGTCCTGGAGGAACTGCTGTTTTTGAGGGCTTTTCCCTGTGACTCCTGGTTTCTTGGCTGGCTTCTAGGATGGAGCATGGCCTAGAGTTGGCTACAATTCTGAGATCTGCATGTGGAGGCCCAGCGAGGTGCAGCAGGCCTGCAAAATAGGTGTTATGTTCTCTTCCTGCCTACGCTGTATGGCAAAGGAAGTTCTTTGGGTGAAATGTGCTATGAAAGTTTTTTCCTCACAGTTAAATTCCTGATGTGGGCAGTCTGAAATCCTGCTGTGTGGCGAATGAAGTCTTCACGGGGACAAGAGCAAGGTGGCTTGTAGGTTCGCAGGTTGTCGCCTTTTGATGGAAACAGGGGGATGAAAATACCATTTCCTTTATGGGAAAGTAAGGTCATCTGGAGAGTCAACGTGGGTCAGAAGCACTGCAGCTTTGCATGCTTATGGCCTTCTGCTGTAGCTGCATGAGCTCCCCAAGTGCTGGTAAACAGTATTTTTTTACTGACTCAGCTGGAGACCTGGGGAGCTCTCTGGCAACCTGGTCCCTGCACTACTGACATCTGAATCCTTAGCTGGAAAACTTCTTTGTATCTGCAGTGAATTTTGGTGGTTCAGCAGTGTTGAAAAGGCAACTTGTGAAGTCTTGGCCATTTCTGCTAAAAGGAAAAGTCCCCTGGGAAGCACTTTGTAGGAGGAGGAGTAAGTATCCTGTCTGGGAAAGAAACATCTCTCATCACTGTTGCTTTAGAAGGCAGAGGCCAGGCCTGCGTTTGGTGCAGCATGTGAAGCTTAGAAAATAAATGAGATGTAAAAGTGGCTTAAAAGAAAGAGTGTCTGAAATGAATGGATGGTGTGGGGAAGATTTGAGTTGCAAGCCTGAGGAACTGGTTGAACCAGAACTTTTGGAATTCAAGTGTTGGGATTTACCTCTAATCTGTCAAAGCTGTGACTGGTCCCCCTCAATTCTGCTGAGCAACCCTGCTGAAGATGTCTGCTCCCTGGCCCAGGATGGGAGTCCTTAATACAGGCACAGTGAAATGTGCCAGATGGCAGATGTCTCCACGTGCTCGCAGTCTCTTGCGTAGATCCCCTGAAATATCTGCTGTGGCTAGGTACACCCCCCACCCCCTTAAAAATAGTTGTGTTTGGATACTTGCTTTCCTGGGCAGGGAGGAACATTCCTTCCTTTTGGAAGGAAGTAGATGGGAATAATATAGAAAGAGCTTGAATGGTTGTTTGCCTGTGGTGGTATAATACCGGTGCATTAGTATTTTTTTACAAACAGTATATTGTAATAGGTGATTCTTATTTGAGTCTTTGTAGTCATCTTGCTCTAATCCATATAATAGCACAAATAATCTCTTGAAAAATTCCCCTCAAAGTTTGCATGAGAACTAACTGCTCAGCATCACCCAGTATGGGCTGAGGGGGGTTGTTGCTGACTTTGAGGTGAGTAGTGTTTCACAGTGCTGAGGTGACTGGTGAATGCCCATGAGGCATTTGATCGTGTGGGTGAGTCAGGCTACTATCTTACTGTTTTGTTTATGAAAAGGAACCAAAATAGTGTGATTAAATTGGTTGCTGCTTTTTGTTTCTTCCTGTGTGTAGCAAAAAAAAAAAAAAAAACCAAAAAAACAAACCAACAAAACCAAACAAACCAAAGAAACTCCACCCCAAAAGCCCACAGTGGAGCTGTGAGGAAGACCCCGTGTCTCTCAGATGAGGACCAGAGCAGCAGAAACATTTATAAGGATGTTGCCAGAAATAAGAAATTTGCTAAGGAGTTTGTGGGGTGTGCAAGTGTGGTAAAGTACCACAAGACACATGTACTCCTCTGCCCTAAAACAACCAAAGTGGGGATTGCCCCAGTGTCCGGTTTTTCAGGGGCTGTGTTTTGTGTTACTCTGTGTACTTCCAATATTGTAAGAGTACTGAACTGATCCAAGGTGTGTAAGCATTGATGGGGAGGCTGTTTGAGCTAGTATTTTGTTTGTCTTGGTTTACTTCTAACAAAAGATACAGGCTGTATTTCTTCAGGTCTGTGAAAGGTCACTTTTTCAGTTATTTCTCTGAAGGTTCTACTTGTAGTCTTTTCCTCTTAAAATGTATAAGTTAGAGGATTTGGGTTTAAAAATTGTCAGATATTTCACTGAAATTTTTTCAGATACATGCTTCTATGTGTGCTGCTAGCTAATGTATATAATGGTAGGCATTATAAACCAATACAAAATCAGCTTAAATTTGCCAGCTTTATTTTTTACTCCATTTTGAAAAGATGGACGTTGTGAGAAGGTTTCATGATTTTCTTCAGTAGACCTGAAGGCCAACACGTGTATGAAGAGCTTGATATGGCTGTGAGTGCACAACCTGTGTGCAATGGGGGAAGGTGGTCCCTTGAGCTGCCTAGTGTGTGCTTGGGCTAATTGCAGAGGACTTCTGCTGACCTCTGCCTGGCTTATCCTTAGTGCTTCCTTTCCCTGGAGTGTGCAGCACCATAACCTGAAGTCACTAAAATTTCACATGAGCTTCTTCTGAAATTACTTCACTTTAAACCAAACTCCATCTGAGGTAATTTTTGCAGATTTACATGCTCCTCAACCCAATTCCAGTGTGGTTGGGCTCAAGACATCACTTTGAAGTATATTTTGTTAGTTATTAGTTATTGCCTCCTAGCTTCTGCAAAGTGCCAGCTGCTGATCAGCTGACCAGTGACATTTGGATTAGGAATTAAACTATTTCTCCTCTTGGAATGGGACATGTTTTTTTGGTGTGGTGTTTTTTGGTTTTTTTTTTTTTTTAATTCCCAACCCCATTGTTTTTCCTGTGTACCTTGTGAAGCAGGGCATGTACACTGCACTCTGCACTGCTAGGTAGTATATTGGCTCCTTTGTGGTTTAGTAGTCTGTTTTTTTGAGTGTGCAAGCCAGGCAAACTGGTGAAGAATCCCAAGTGGGTTGTTTGGTAAATGTCAAGGTATCCCAAGTGCTTTGGTGCTTTTAGCAGCACAGATTTTGCTGGGGCAGAGTGTGTGCCATGTCCCTAGATGTAATCAGGAAGGAAAAGAAGGTGTTAGTGGATTTAACTGTGTAAGAAGTTGTATAGCCCAGAGACTTGCATCATCTAGCCTCACTTGTAAGCTTTGAGACATGTCAGAGAATGGTTCTGGGATTGTACATAGGGGTGGCTAGTTTCTTACGTAACAGTTATATTAGCTAAAAGCATATGTGATGGCAGTGTTAGCCCAGTGCATTCATGGGAGGACAAGTTGTCTGCAGTTGGTTTCCCATTAAAGAGCCTTCCATGTTAAAACAAAATAGTTTCTAATTCAAGCAGTCTTGCAACAGCCTTACTAAGTCAGTTACTTAGTATAAGAAAGCTTAGTTTTGGGATTCTGGGTGGAGAAGATACATCATTTATCTATCTGACTCTGGTCTTGCGGAAGTGTTCTAGTAGTTTTATATGAACAGGTTACTAA